CCAAAAGGCCTCGTGCTAGGTAAGGATGGGAATATACATTTAAGGATCACCCCCCTGGGCGATGTGGGATGTCATAATCCACCCCCCTTAGGGGCCCAACATCCTCGTCGGCACACACGCGGCCAGGGTTAGGCTCTGATACCAAATTGTCACATTTCGACCCGGGGGGAAACACTTCCCGGACCCGCTCCACCACCGTAGCACGATATTGTCCGCTTTGGGCTTACCATTCCCTCACGGTTTTGTTTTTGGGAACTCACGAGCAACTTCCCAGTGGGTCACCCATCATGGGATTGCTTTAGCCCTGTTCTCGCTTAACTTCGGAGTTCCTACGGAACCCGAAGCCAGTGAGCTCCCAAAAGGCCTCGTGCTAGGTAAGGATGGGAATATACATTTAAGGATCACCCCCCTGGGCGATGTGGGATGTCACATATGGATTTTGAAAAAGTGATTCTCACATAATAATGCAGTGCGGTTTTATTACAAAAATTGCCACCAAAGAAAAAAGATCTAGGGAGTTTTACAAATTCATGCAATATTGGAAATTCAGATTTTAAATGTGCTTTAATCGATTTTGGTGCTAGTATTAATTTAATGCATTTTTCTGTTTTTCAGAGCCTAGGACAAGGAAAAATCAAGCCAACAACAATTATTTTACAGTTAGCGGACCGTTCAGTTGCTTATCCTAAGGGCATTATTGAAGATCTTATTATCAAATTGGATAATCTTTACCTTCCAGCAGATTCTATGGTTTTGGATATGGATAAAGATATGCAAACACCTATTATTTTGGGGCACCCATTCATGGAAACCACTAGAACTTTGATCGATGTGAAAGCTAGAACATTGACACTTAGAGTACAAGAACAATCTGTTGTTTTTAATTTATTTGAAATGACGCCTAGTGATATGCAAGATTGTATGGGAGTTGATGTGTTAGAAGGCATCATGCATGCATATATTATGCCCTGTTTGACAACAAATCCATTGTTAAATGTTTGACATGGTTTTGAAGACACAAAAACTGAAGATGAAGAGGTTTTTTAGTATGTTACTGCTTTGGAAAGTGTCCTTTTACACCAGCCAAAGTGGAGGTATGTTTTTGAGAGTTTGGAGGAACCAAAAACACCATTACAACATTAAAAAATACAGCCACCTAAGCTGGAATTGAAGCCATTACCCGAACACTTAAAACGTGTTTATTTGGGTGCTAATTCATTGCTGCCAGTCATTGTTTTTGCAGATTTATCTCTAATTAGGGAAGACAAATTGTTGCGCATCTTGAGAAGTTTTCAAGATGCCATTGGGTGGACAATTGCAGATATTAAAGGGATCAGCCCAACACTTTGTATGCACATAATTTTGATGGAGGAGGGTGTCAAACGCACCATTGATGCCCAACGTCGATTGAATCCGATTATGAAGGAAGTTGTTCGAAATGAGGTTATGAAGCTTTTAGATGCTGGAATGATTTATCCAATTTCAGATAGTAAATGGGCTAGTCTAACTCAAGTGGTACCTAAATGCACTAGAATTACAATTGTGAAAAATGACAACAAAGAACTTGTGCCTAACTACTAGGAGGCGAATGTGCGTTGACTATAAGAAGATCAATACAGGTACTAGAAATGATCACTTTCCATTACCATTTACTGATCAGAAGTTGGAGAGATTGGCAAGTCGAGCTTTCTATTATTTTTTTGATGGGTATTCAGGCTACAATCAAATTCCAGTTGCTCCAGAAGATCAGGAAAATACCACCTTCACCTACCCTTTTGGTGTGTTTGCTTACAGAAGAATGCCTTTTGGATTATGCAATGCACCAGCAACATTCCAACGTTACGTGATGAGCATATTCTCAGGTTTGGTTGAACAAGTGTTGAGGTATTTATGGATGATTTTTCTGTTTTTGGGGATTCGTTTGATCATTGTTTGTAGAATTTATCATTGGTTCTTAAACGTTGCAAAGAAACTAATTTGGCTTTGAATTGGGAGAAGTGTCATTTTATGGTTAAACAAGACCATGTCTTAGGGCACTTAGTATCTAGCAGAGGTATTGAAGTTGATAAAGCTTAGATTGATGTTATTGCTAAGTTGCCACCCTCTACCACTGTGAAGAGCATTCGTTCATTTCTTAGGTATGTTGGATTTTATAGACGGTTTATCAAGGATTTCTCCAAGATTAGCCAAGCCAACCCTTGTGTAATTTATTGGCTAAGGATGCAAATTTTGTTTTTGATGATGCATGCTTAAAGGCTTTCAACAAGTTAAAAACACTCCTTACTTCAGCACCGATTATTGCAACTTTGGACTAGAACTTATCGTTTGAATTAATGTGTGATGCATCAAATTATGCAGTTGGGGCAGTTCTTGGACAGGGAAAAGACAAGATTCCTCAAGTCATTTATTATGCCAGCAGAACTCTCAATGATGCACAACTCAACTATGCAACCACATTAGAAAATTTTCGTTCTTATTTAATTGGAGCTAAGGTAATTGTCTACACAGATCATGCTACATTGAAGTATTTGTTATCTAAAAAGGATGCTAAACCTCGACTTATTCCATGGATTCTTTTACCTCAAGAGTTTGATTTGGAAATTAGGGACAAAAAGGGCAGTGAAAACATGGTGGCTGATCATTTATCAAGATTAATTAATCCTGTTAGTGCACAAGATGACACATTGCCTCTTAATGAAAGTTTTCCTTATGAACAGTTGTTGGCTGTCCATCACAATACACCATGCTTTGCAGATGTGGTTAATTATTTGGCCAGGGGAGTTATTAATCCAAATTTTAGTTATCAGCAAAAAAAGAAATTTTTGACAAATGTAAAATTTTATTTTTGGGATGAGTCGTATTTGTACAAATACTGCCTATGTCAGATTATTCGCAGATGTATTCCAGAGGAGGAACAACATAGCGTTTTAAAGTTTGCACATCATTATGCTTGTGGTGGACATTTTGAGCCTACAAAGACAATAGCTAAATTCTACAAAGTGGGTTGTTTTGGCCTTCCCTTTGCAAGGATGCTAATAATTGGTGTAAATATTATGATCGTTGTCAACAAGTGGAAAACCAATCCAAGCGGAATGAGATGCCATACCATGGTATTTTGGTTGTTGAATTATTTGATGTTCGGGGTATTGATTTTATGGGACCATTCCCATCATCACATGGCAATCAATATATTTTGGTGGCAGTTGAGTATGTTTCTAAGTGGGTCGAGGCAATTGCAGCACCAACTAATCAAGGATCAGTGGTTCTAAAATTCTTCTAGGGGGTTATTTTTTCACAGTTTGGAATCACGCAAGTTATACTTAGTGATGGGGGAAAGCATTTTATTAATAAACCATTTGCTACATTACTTGCGAAATATGGGATAAATCATCGTGTTGCCACTCGTTGTTGTCCACAAACGTCAGGGTAGGTTAAAGTTTCAAACAAAGCAATTAAGCGTATTTTGGAAAAAACAGTTGGCTCCACTCACAAAGACTGGAGTTTGAAATTAAACAATGCACTCTGGGCATACATAACAGCATTTAAAACACCGATTGGGATGTCCCCATTTCAGCTTGTGTATGGCAAGGCTTGTCATTTACCTATGGAGCTAGAGCATAAGGCGTTTTGGGCTGTTAAGGAGTTAAATTTTACTTACGATTCAGCAGGAGAAAAGAGTATGCTGCAGCTTAATGAGCTTGATGAAATTCGTCATGAAGCTTATGAAAATGCATGCATATGCGAAGACAAAACAAAAGCAATTCCATGACAAACAAATTCTCAGAAAAGATTTCCAGCCAGGGCATAAAGTGTTGTTATTCAATTCCAGATTAAAGTTATTTCCAGGGAAATTGAAATCTCATTGGACTATACGTGGTTACTAAGATTTATCCGCATGGGACAGTTGACATTACAAGCGAGATGAATGGCAACACATTCAAGGTAAATGGTCACAGGCTGAACCCATACTTGGCATCACTCTTCGATAGTGCAACCGAGTCATTGACTCTAAAGGAATCAGTGATCTAACCACCAGGCTTCTGCAAAGTCTAGCTACGACTTAAAATAAAGCGCTTATTGGGAGACAACCCAATTTTCAAACTTTCCTTATTTTCTTTCAAGTTTGTTTCATTATTTTCAGTTTCTAGATGCATTTAATTTCCTAAGTTGTCATTTAGTTTCACAAATAATCATATCAAAAAAAAAAAAAAAAAAAAAAAAAAACCACACACACACACACACAAAAAACAAAACAAAACAAAACAAAACGAAAACAGAAACAAAAATAGAAATCTGAAAAAATAACAAAACAATACTTTGCTTTAATTGTTTTATTTCCTGAGTAACTCTAGTTTACATTTCGGTGTCCTTTACATTCTATCTCTAATTCTCAAGACTTGGGTTTTGTAGGGCAACAAACAAGACGAACAAGAATCAATGCACAGAGATTATCCTATACTGGATCATGCACCCAGCAGCAAGTCTACATTAACATCAACCACATCCCTATACTATGATGAAGAATATTGCAGAAATTACAAAGATCTTGCAGACTCACAGATCCAGTCCCAAAAGTGTACATCTGACCATTGGTTTCTGGGATGCAGTTCTTTGATATGTGGAAGCAGAATATACAAAAATCACAGATCCACATACCGCAGAACTGATCTCCATCATGTTTACCAGATCTACATTTTTGCAACCCAATCTGTGCCCCGAGTTGCAGGGATAGGACGTTATACCTTTCTGTTTTGTTGCGCAGCCATTCTTCTGTGTGGGCCATTAGATATGGTTTCTGGCTTCAACGTTGAGCTGCCTTTGTGGATCTAGCATATTCCTGCAACAAATCATTCAGGTTGATGAGTTATTGAGGATCCATTATTTTTTGCATATCTACAACTTCTACATTCGAAGACGCCATGTATGCCGTTATTTGAGTTTGGGGGTTGGTTCTTTATCTGTGCTCAGCACAGTTCAAGTCCAAATGGTCCACATATATGTTCAGGGCTGATCCAGGTTTTCATTCACTTTTATTACTGGGAGAAGGCGTGTTCTAGGTCCAAAAATCTCATCCCCGTACAGATCTAAACTTTTGGGGTGATTTCACAGATAATACATGCATGCCATTCTCATTTACAGAAGTTTAAACATCCAGCATGGATTCCAGCGGAGATACGGCGCCATAACTTTCAGATCCGAAGTCGTGGTAACTTGGAAACTTCTTTTGCCATTTTTGTTGACTAAATCTGCAGCTTGAGCATTCTCTCTCGGATCTATCACAGCTCCGATGTCCTACATAGAGATACAGACATGTGAGTACCTGTACTATGTTTTTACAGATCAGAACCCAGACACGTCAACGTTGATATTTTACCTTTTCTTTACACGGTTCTCTAGCCTCCGAGGGTTCTCCTTTGTTTTTTTTTTCCTTGTCATACACGGATCTGGGAGTTTTCGACACAAGATGGCAGTCTATTTAGTTTTCTCGAAGATCCGCTAGTGATTATTCATGTCATGCATAAACAAAGATCGAAAGGGGGAAGTTAGACATTTTACCTTTTATTTTGGATCCACGCCTTCAGTGATTTCTCTTCCCATTTACAACGGCTCTGCGTGGTCCCAGCATTTCTTTTGCATGCCGTCATCCACGACATCGGAGTCCAATCCTGTGCATCAATGGGAACATAGATGGGTTTTTATTGGCCCTGGATCTGTGAAGCTTGGGTGTTGGTGCATTTCTTTTGTTGTGGAACAGAGAGTCCTCGCGGAGAAAGCAGTTGCATGTGTTAGTTCTTCAATTTTTCCATAAAAATACACTCAATGGAACGCAATGGCAGCAAGGAATGATCTTTACCTTTGGGACTTCGAGCTTCGCCACCGAGCTACAGCAATGGTGATGCACTCTATGACTGGGACCGAGAGCAAAAAGGCATGGTTTGAAGTTAGTTTGGGAGACCCTAATGCACATGGAGGAGCAGCAAAGGGTGAAGGATTTGTGTTGATGTGAGAAAGGAAGGTACAATATTGCAGTAGAAATGGAAGATGAGGTGCGGTTGGGATTCTGCAATTTGAGGATAAATTTTTAATTGTGACGGAAACATGAATAGTACATCACATATTTTATGAATCATTTCTGTTAATTTCGTGATTACAAAAACGAAAGACAATTGTGTAGTAGAACAATGGCACAAGAAGCCCAAAGAACCTAGGCTGATTGGATACTATTGTACTACTTTTGTATTTATGTAATCATGGTTTGGTTACCATATTGTACTACTTTGTATTTATTTAATCATCTGTTATACTACTTTTGTATTTATCTAATCATGGTTCGGTTACTATATTGTCATATCTTCATCATCTGATTCTTTTTTGTTTGTTTCCTCCTTTGACATGCAGTCCTTGAAACTTCACGTTTTAAAGCTTAATGAAAACATAGCTGAATTCAAGCTTTACCAATGTTGTACTACTTTTGTATTTATCTTCCTCTGGAGCAAAACATGATCAAACAGACGAATTTTGAAGTGATTCGAATTGGAGGACGTTCATGTGTCTCTTGGTGTATTTGTATCAAAATTTCATAAATTTCTACCAACCGATTATTTTCTGGTGATTAAATAAAGGAGTAGTACGCATTATTGGAAAGTGACGTTTTTGGGCTTAAATGTAGTTTTTGGAGCCCAAGATTATTTTAGATGGGTTCATGGCCCTCTGGCGAAGTGTTCAAAATAGTCCAAGCTTCAAATACAACTATTTTGGGTGAGTTTTGGAGCTGCGGTATTTTGGACGAATTTACCAAGTTAAATTAGGATTATGTTTCCTAATTTATTTCAACTTATTTGGTTTCCTAGTCTCGTTCTAAGACCTTTTACTAGGAGGATTTAATTAGAGTAGTATGAATAAGCCTTTTTGGCTGGCCCTAGGGTTTTTCTTTTCTATGCAATTTTTGGAGAGAAGATTTTGGGCAAAGCTTAGAGATTTCAAGACTTATACTTTCAAGGTGTTTTCATTCTTTTTCAATAAAGACTTTGTGATTTTTATTATGAATATGCGTAACTAATCATCTTTGCTAGGGTGAAGCCATGATCCTTGGCAAGAATATGTTGTCTCTTTTTAATTTTCTTATGAATTTATGCATGCAAATTTTGAATTGTTAATCACTGGTTTAAACTATCTATTTGTCTTAGTGCTTCGCGACGATTAGAATATTTAGAAAAGTAATTTGATGCAATTTTGGGGAGGCTTTCCCTAAAATTGACTGATGCTTCTTGTGGTTAATATGTGTAACTTCTTAGGATAGACGACACGTCTTTAGGGTTATATGGTTTTTCAGAAGGTTTTCACATAACTTAATGAGTCTTGCATGTTCACATTTGACCTGGACACCACGGACAGGTGCATGTTAGATATACGTTCTATGTTGGAGGTTCCAAGTAGGATATACTTTAGGGAAACCTAACCTTCAAAATATGCATGTATGGTTCAGAAGTAGTCAGAAGAACTACATAGGATTGTTAGGGTGACAGAGGAACCCTAGTACACTTTGAATTCTAAAAGTTATTTCCTTTTTCCTTCTTTAAAATTGCATATTTTAGTTGACCTTTTTAATTAAATTCGTTTTTCTTAATTTAGGTTATTAAATCACCCTTTTTCCAAAACTTTGTTCTAAATAATTAGTTGAGAATTGATTTTGTGTTAATCTATTTAAATTAATTCCTGTGGAGAACGACTTTGTTTGAGCCAACTATACTACAATAATATTGTTTATTTTAGGTGTTTTTAACCCTTTTTGTGCGGGTGGTAAAAATCCTATCAAACAACAAAGAAAAAACAGAGAAAAGAGAGAAAAAAAATTGGGTGTTGAATCGGCTCGGGTATTTTGTTTTATAAACTTGATTAAAATTTGTAAAGATTGTTTCTTTTAGAATTCTAGTTTTCTAGAAATTGGGTTCAACGATTGGGATTTTTGTTTTTTTGGAGAACGGATGATTTGGGTCTCCTCCTTGATTCAAATTGCAGATCTCGTTGTGAGAGTTTCTTTTTAATTCCAGTTTGTTGGTCCAATAATTTGGGATCTCACAGGTTCTTAGTTTTTTTTTCCCAATATTGCACATCTCCTCATACGATCTCAGAATTTTATGCACTCAGAATTGTCGAATGAAGATTTGGTTAGAATAAATATACATTACATGTACACGACGTGTATATGATATGCTTACAAATCGGAACTCAACCCAAAAACATAAAGCTCACAGCTCTCTCTCGACATCCCTCTCTTCGAAATAAGAAAAATACGTCACCAACTGTGAGTTTTTACAATTTATACGTAGGTATTTTCATCATTTTACTTTTATGCATAATGTGCATGACTTGTACACAATCATTTTGTCCTATTTTTATTCAAAGATTAAAAAAATGAGTCCTTTCTGTTAATTTCGCGATTACAAAAACCAAAGGCAATCGTGGGGTAGAACAACGGCACAAGAAGCCTTGGCCCCAACGAACCTAGGCTGATTGGGTTACTATTGTACTACTTTTGTATTATCTAATCATGGTTCGGTTACCATATTGTACTACATTGTATTTATTTAATCATCTATTATACTACTGTTGTATTTATCTAATCATGGCTCGGTTACTATATTGTCATATCTTCATCATCTGATTCCTTTTTGTTTATTTCCTCCTTTGACATGCAGTCCTTGAAACTTCACGTTTTAAAGCTTAACGAAAACATAGCTGAATTGATGCTTCCCCAACTATTGTACTACTTTTGTATTTATCTAATCATGGTTCGGTTACTACTTTGTATTTATTTAATCATCTATTATACTACTTTTGTATTTATCTAATCATGGTTCGGTTACTATATTGTCATATCTTCATCATCTGATTCCTTTTTGTTTATTTCCGCCCTTAACATGCAGTCCTTGAAACTTCACGTTTTAAAGCTTAACGAAAACATAGCTGAATTGATGCTTCCCCAACTATTGTACTACTTTTGTATTTATCTAATCATGGTTCGGTTACTATATTATCATATCTTCATCATCTGATTCCTTTTTGTTTATTTCCTCCTTTGACATGCAGTCCTTGAAACTTCATGTTTTAAAGCTTAACGAAAACATAGCTGAATTGATGCTTCCCCAACTATTGTACTACTTTTGTATTTATCTAATCATGGTTCGGTTACTACTTTGTATTTATTTAATCATCTATTATACTACTTTTGTATTTATCTAATCATGGTTCGGTTACTATATTGTCATATCTTCTTCATCTGATTCCTTTTTGTTTGTTCCCTCCTTTGACACGTTTTAAACCTTCAGTTGGTGAGTTGTCCTGGGTTTTTATAATTTTGTTTTATCATTTTCTTTCAAAATTCTATGTCCGTTGTTCCCGTTCTAGGTAAGGCAAATTGTCCACCAAATTTTCATTTCTTACCAACTGAATCCTATAAAAGCCTAAAATATTACCAGGCTATCCTTTCAGAAATAGAAAGCATTGCTATTAAGCCAATTTACAGTACCACTCATCAAAACAAAATATTGTATCATTCACTCCATATTGGAAAATTCCTTACCGAACTCGAATGGGGAATTCCTCTTTATCACACAAAACCCCTTCATACTCAGCATGTCCTCATCCCAAACAATCATTACAATTACTATGATTATATCCAAGCATGGACCAACATTTTTCTCCACCAGACATAAGACTTTAGTCATTCATGGTTCATAACCTTTGATAAAAATTTCAGGTTACGGTTTCCTGCATGGTTTCCAGATTGGTGGGCTTCCCATGGCCCAAGCTCTTCTATCATTCCAGATGACCTTCGTCATGTACTCACAAACAATTTCCAGCCCATTTTTGACAGAAGTCGTTTCGACAACAGAGTTACTATTTTTTCACTGCTCATGGCCAAGTATAAGATTCCATGGATTCTCAAATGGAACTTTGAAGTAGACACTGGTGGTATTTACAGATCCCGATGGGTAAAATGGTGGGATAAATTCAACCACCAAAAAATTATTGATCTTGTAAAAATGGAATTTCCCCAGGTATCTTCTCAGGCACTGCCAATCAAAGTTTCAACTTCGTCCTCTCAAGCTTTGCCAGTTCATCAACAATTTCCTGAGTTGCTAAAAACCCAGGTGCCAATTCAATCCCTATCAGACATTAGTCCGTCATCTTCCCTCAAAGGAAAACTTGCTAAGTCCTCTAGCTCGAAGAAAGAAAAATCTGCAAAGTCTACCCAGCTTCTGGATATGGCCTAACTGCTCATGGCTGAAGCAGCAATGCTACAAAAAAGAAAAGGTTCAGATTCGGACTCTGACGCATCTGATGCCTCATCTCAACTTCCCTCCAAATGGGTAGATCAAGCAGCTCTTCAAGATGCCCAGGACCCATTTGATTATTAACCTACATTATTTGCTCATGTGATTGTGCCAGCCAAATATCATCATCAGCAGTAACTGCTATCATCTCTTCCGTAAAAGACAAGGCATTATTCTCCAATAGTGAAAAACAAAAAGGTCACTGTTCATCCAGCTTTTGTAAAAGAATCAAAGCATCTTCACTATTCATTTAACTTTTGTAAAAGAATCAAAGCATCTTCACTATTCATTTAACTTTTGTAAAAGAATCAAAGCATCTTCACTATTCATTCAACTTTTAAAGAAGAAACAACGTGATTACACAGCTTTGTCAGCCTTCTTCAGAAGACAGCGGGATTCCTGGATCCATTTGGCAAGCCTCATTCAGTCTCCTCGCTCTATATAAGGAGGACTCATCTTCAAAGGACAGATATAGTTTTTTAAACACTCTCTGCGTATTCAAAAGAACAGAGAATATTTCCAAACACTTGTAATACATATATTATTCAGGATGCCTGCGAGCTCCACCTTGTTTACTTGTTTCATCTGCCATTAGGCAATACCTGTTTGTAATCTGCTTTGCAGTAAGTTTTCAATAAAACTTATTTTCAAAAATATATTTGCATCATTACATTTAATTCATTATATTCTTTATATGCTTTACTTCCGCACTCTGAATTATATGGAAGGCTATGCCTCCTGCTGCTATTTTATATTTTACTTCCGCACTTTATATTCTATGGAGAGGCCTGACCGGAGAGCATGAGCGGAGCGCATGAGCGGGGGAAGAGTCTAGACATACGAGGAAGGTGAATCTTTTAAGTCTTGCATA